TTTCTTTGGGCGAGACAAGATACGCGAGAGTCGATTTTCTGGGTAACGGTTAAACGCGTCGCAACGAAGATAGCATTTCCTCGATACCGAGGCGGAATCGCGCAAGCGCGATGCTCGGTAAACGTAATGGGGATGGTTATGGATTTTCGGGTCGTGCGACCTTCGCGCGTCGCATCCCACGCTTTTCCCGCTCCGGACATCGTTCTCCGATCGTACCCGCTGTCGAGATCTCGACCACTCGTCGAGATTTCGTGGTTGTCGAGGTAACGCTCGGCCGATCCGGGACGTTTCGCTCCGAACGAAAGGCGGTAGCTCCGCTTTAATGTTCGCGTTTCGTCGCATGACCGTGCCCCGTTCCGTCCGGCGAGAAGTTACGGTTAACCCCGTTGGGAGGAGTCACCGACTTTCGAGCTTCGACTTTACTCGATAAATCACGCGTTCTTTTTCCGTTTCGACGTTCCCTCTTCCCTTTCGTTTCCTTCGAAAGATAATAGAGCGTCGTTTACCTCGTCGACCGAAAAGTTCATCTACCGAGAGAACCTTCCGACTAAGCGGTCGTCGGTTTCTCCTAGCGGAGCGTAGAGAGAAACGGCGAGTGGTTGGACGGTGAGCAGACGATTAGGAGCAAACGAGAAGGGGATGTCCGGCGAATCGAGTCGCGAGTATGCGCGAAAAGCGTCGTTAAACCTGATCGAGGCTCGTGCGCGTTTACGGTCTTTGATCTTTTTGTCGTAAACGTCCTTCGTAAAGGCGAATGACACTTGCCGGTGCAACTAGAAACTCGTTCGAGGATAATTCGACCGTCGTCGCTTTACGACTGTTAGCGATGAGAATCGTATCTTGATCGATTTATCGATCTAATTCAAAGCTCGATCTCCATTACGCGTGCATCGACCGTGAAACGGCAATTTGGCGTCGCGAATTTCGTTAAGCAACAACCGTTAATCTATGTTTTCGTTGTAAGTTTGGAAATGGGTACACACGGTGTAGGTGCTTTCGTAGCTACCTCGATACCGACCGGGTATATCTGCAACTGGTGTCTAACTGGTATTGGTATGTAGGTAGATAGATAGGTAGGTAGGTAGATAGGTAGGTAGGTAGGTAGGTAGAAAGGTAGGTAGGTAGGTAGGTAGAAAGGTAGGTAGGTTGGTAGGTAGGTAGGTAGGTAGGTAGGTAGGTAGGTAGGTAGGTAGGTAGGTAGGTAGGTAGGTAGGAGTAACAGCGGAGGATAATCTCGTGGTAGGTAGGTTGCGGTACTCTGCGGTACTGTATGCCGCCATCTTGCTTCATCGATTTTTACCCCTACCCTCGAATTTGTCGGTCGAGCCTCCGATTCTCCCATGTTTCTTCTTTTCCCTCTTGCCCCGTGCTTCCTTTCATCGTCCGTGTTTGGTTATCGTCCAAGATTACGGAGGCGGCGAACGAAAGGTTCCTAAATGTTCGTACAACGACGCGTTGCGATTCGAAAAACCGTGGAAGGGCGGTCGCGTAATCGGGCAAAACGTGAAATGCTAGGGGGGTACATAACAGGTATTCGCTGCGTAAATCCACGCGGACAGGATAGAAGAATACTCGGTGTAATTAACCCGACGAGATTCGCTAAACGTTTCGCCGTCCGCCTTCGAGGTCGTCCTTCCGATCTTGTTTTATCGTATTTTTACGTAACACGGTTTTCGTTCGTTTCCTTTGGCTTCCGTCGGTGCGCGTCCACTCGATCGTGTTACGCGGACATCGTTAGCGGTTCGCCGACGACGATTAACTGGAAACTAGTAGCGACAGTTACAAGAAGGGGAGTAGACGGCGAAGAATCGGGATTGCGACAGCATACGAGACACCGTTTATCGATTAACGAATCGCTGCAACGAACGGCGCTAGCGGACGCGAAAATTCCTTCGGCCGTTTAACGAAGGGATCCGCGAAAGGTTACGCTATCGATTGTTTGGAAAGTATCTTCCGAGCTTCGGTAGCCGACTCGAAATCGAACCGGTTCGAGAGTGGACACGATTCCACGGAGAAAAAGATGATCCGACGAATAGAATCCGCCACGGATGATTCGATCGTAGCTACGTTAAGCTCGTTATCGTTAGTCGAACGGGAATTCTGATGCAGGATTTTGGCATCGCGGAGCGAAACGCGAGAGAGCGGCGTTCACGAGGCAAACCATTCTCGAGGCGCGAGCGAACGAAGCGCGCGGGTATTTCGAAAATTTCCAAGATTCAGGATTCGACGGACAGAGAAGATTTGAGACGAAGCGTCAAAACGAGCAAGAGGAAAGAGACGGTAGGAATGCGCTGGCACGTTCGTTGCGTCTGGTCGAATAACGCGTGACGACGTTAGGGATCGTTAGCCACGGTATGCAGTCACGGTAATAAACAGGATCTCCGTCGAGACGGTATTTCGGAGGCAGCGCTGGCGTCGTTCTTGTCCGTAATAAGCGGCAGGTGGCCTCTGCGCGCTTTCTTCCGACGAACGGACGCGAGTTTAAGGCGAACGCATCCGAACGAACGGGGCGGCCAAAAAATTTCTCCGTAATCCTCCGTAGTAGGGACGTAATTTTCCTCGATGCGCGACACCTCCTGTTGCTCTTTCGAAAATGAACGAGCATCGATTTCGACGTGTCTCGTCCGATTGTCGCGTTACGCGTTGGCACTCGAAGGGATCGTAAGGAGGTCATACACCGTTACAGCGGAAGAGCGCGTTCTCGAAAAAGAATTTTCGTAGCTTCCCGCCTCGCTATCTCGAGCGACCGGATCCCCTTTCGTTCAAGGGGAGTCCATCCTTTGAGAAAAGCAAGGTGGCTGTTTTTTAGGCCACCATTCCTTCTTCTCTTTCGCAATAATTCGATACTTTTCGATGCGAGATAAGCGCGAGATCGTAATCGCGATGGTCGTTCTCAAGAGCGATATATTCGGCGCGTCGGTTCTCGCGAAACGATACGTTGGCCGCGCTCGATTAACTTTCATTAATCTACGGTGGTCGAGTATTACTCTTTTGCCGAGATCAATCCAGACCCCGAGTCTGGCATCTGGCACGTGTCTCGACCGCATTCCCGTCCCTTCGTCTCGCGTTCTCGCGCTCGAACGGACCTCTCCGCTCCTTACGCTTCGTACCGATTACCCGGGTACTCGTTAGTCTTCCATCGATCGTTCGAATCGTTTCGTCTCGATTCGGTGTCGTTCCCGCGAGACGTACGCGCGAAATTCTAAAGAAGATCGCGCGGCGTATCTTGGCGATACGCGTATGACCGTACAGGTTATTCTGGTATTTTTATCAGCGCGTAATTGTGCAGGAATGCAACGATTCGACTCGAACTTTATCGTTCGGAGCGCGATAACGATCCGGATGTATTATTAGATTCGTGACGCGTTCGTTTCGCCGCATAATTTTACGATTTTTCTGTTATGTTTCTTAGCCGGTCGCCGAACACCGAAGGCGATAGAGGGTCGTCGCTCGTGCGAAATCGCGAACGAGAATAAAAAGAAAGATAGAAGAAGGGTAAAAAGCGGAGTATGGCGGGAAGGAGACTCGTAAACGGAGTTAACGCGTCGGTTGAAGGGAGCACTCTGGCCGGTAAGAGGATACGGCGAATTGTCCCGAGATAGTCTGATCGTTGGAGGGGTGGATGGCCGAGGTGGTGGGGGTGCTTTGACCGCGAGCGAGGACGAGCGAGCGTAACGGGGTGGGAGTCGGTATCGCGACGGCGAAGAGGAGAAACGGCCATGAGAGTGGGAGAAGCGAGAATCGCGCAGGCGCCAGCCCCGAACTTCCCTCGAGCCTCGAGCTGATCAGTCGTGCGTGCTACTTTACACGCGTCGCGTCTTTCCTTCGTTTCGGGGTACGTTACGAATCGCGAATCAGTTTCGTCCACCCCGCTCGTCTTCTCGTTTCTACCTTTCGCTTCGCCCTCTGTCGTTTTCCTTTTCTTTTCTTCTCTCTCTCTCTTTCTCTCTCTTTCTCTCCCCCTCTCTCTCTCAATCACTCACGCGCGTGTGCTCTCTTTCTAGCTCGCTCTCCCTCTACCTTAGCTTGCTTCTTCGTTTTCTTGTCCGACATGCGTCCATTCGTTCGTTCTTTCTTTTTCAATCTTTTCGACGACGCGATGTAAGTTTACTCCGTTTTTGCATGTAGCGTTTCGCGAACGGCCGAATTCTGTGATTTTCGCGATACAACGTAACCGTCGTCCGCGCGCGTTTGCTCGTCGATTCGCTCGACCAGTGCACGCCGTTCAAAGTATCTTGGCGTAAATTTTCGCGAGAGGATAATTCGCAGTGAAAAGAAACGTTTTTATCTCTGTGATATCGTGCGACGTTCACCGAGTGATTATCTCGGGATAGAGCACACCGGCCGACCACGTGTGCGTTTCGAACGACGAACCACCAGCTAAGGAAGAAGATTTTCGAGGTCGCGTCTCGACCGTCCATGATTCTCGGTTTTCTTCGATTTTCGTGTTCGATCGTTCGATCGTCGCCGACTACGAAAACCGTGTAAAGCGAATAAGGTTATCCCGGTTGTACCGGCGCGGCGGTGCAGACGAGGGAACTCTTCTTCTCGATTCGTGGTAGCTGTATTCGATCGGACGCGAGCACTGCACCCCGACGAGGGAGACCAAGATCGATATTTACGAGGTAGGCAGCGTGTCGTCCCGTTACGAGAGAAATTCGATCCATCTTTGCGCGAACGCGGTTACCGTATCGCGCTGACGTTCCAACGGTTTCCGGTAAAATTCGTTCCGTTCGACGCGGTAGTTGCGATTCGATCGCGCGTAGTCGAAAAATGGCTTTATAGGTTAACGCGTCGTTCAGTGGCATCGGTGAAGGCACGCGACGCCCGACGGACTATCGTACAGAGAGGTTCGTTCGGTCGGTGGCGCGTTCGAGCGGGCTACCGGTACGGATAGCGCCGATAAGCCAGCATCGACAGGACCGCGCAAACGCGAACGAAACGCGCGCTTCGCCGTTCTATCGTTCCGCCGTTGGAGCTGTTGGCCCGAACATGCTCTCTTTCTAGCTCGCTCTCCCTCTACCTTAGCTTGCTTCTTCGTTTTCTTGTCCGACATGCGTCCATTCGTTCGTTCTTTCTTTTTCAATCTTTTCGACGACGCGATGTAAGTTTACTCCGTTTTTGCATGTAGCGTTTCGCGAACGGCCGAATTCTGTGATTTTCGCGATACAACGTAACCGTCGTCCGCGCGCGTTTGCTCGTCGATTCGCTCGACCAGTGCACGCCGTTCAAAGTATCTTGGCGTAAATTTTCGCGAGAGGATAATTCGCAGTGAAAAGAAACGTTTTTATCTCTGTGATATCGTGCGACGTTCACCGAGTGATTATCTCGGGATAGAGCACACCGGCCGACCACGTGTGCGTTTCGAACGACGAACCACCAGCTAAGGAAGAAGATTTTCGAGGTCGCGTCTCGACCGTCCATGATTCTCGGTTTTCTTCGATTTTCGTGTTCGATCGTTCGATCGTCGCCGACTACGAAAACCGTGTAAAGCGAATAAGGTTATCCCGGTTGTACCGGCGCGGCGGTGCAGACGAGGGAACTCTTCTTCTCGATTCGTGGTAGCTGTATTCGATCGGACGCGAGCACTGCACCCCGACGAGGGAGACCAAGATCGATATTTACGAGGTAGGCAGCGTGTCGTCCCGTTACGAGAGAAATTCGATCCATCTTTGCGCGAACGCGGTTACCGTATCGCGCTGACGTTCCAACGGTTTCCGGTAAAATTCGTTCCGTTCGACGCGGTAGTTGCGATTCGATCGCGCGTAGTCGAAAAATGGCTTTATAGGTTAACGCGTCGTTCAGTGGCATCGGTGAAGGCACGCGACGCCCGACGGACTATCGTACAGAGAGGTTCGTTCGGTCGGTGGCGCGTTCGAGCGGGCTACCGGTACGGATAGCGCCGATAAGCCAGCATCGACAGGACCGCGCAAACGCGAACGAAACGCGCGCTTCGCCGTTCTATCGTTCCGCCGTTGGAGCTGTTGGCCCGAACAGGTTTCGCGATTCGACTCGTTAAGGTCGAATAATCGTCGACGAGCAGCGAGATTAACGCGAAAACTCGTGGTCGTTCCTCCGGTTTCTCGTGCGCGCGGAGATAGGAGGGTGTTCGAACCGAGGGTGTTACCTGAGCGAGTCACGAGGGAGTTGTTCGTTCTACCCTACCTTTTACCCTGTCCTGTCCTCTTCAATCGCGTGGAATGCCCCTTTTAACGTTGCTCGCTTGGACGCGCCGCACCGTGTCGGGCATCGGAGGAAAGCGTTGTCGTAGGATCGTAGGAGGATCGTAGGAGGGGGATGGCTACCTCAAATAATACTAGCACATAAACTTGCCTATTGATTTTCTAGCGCCTACTCGTAACACGCTCGACCGTGTCGTTCGTGTCTGGTCGGCGGTAATTCTTTTGTACGTTCGAGCAATCGGATCTGGTCGGTTCGGGAAACGCTCGTTAGCGCGATTCGTCGACGTCGGGATAGTCGCCGCTATTCGACGTCCGTCGCGCGATGCTCGAGTATTCTCGGTGCACGGTGTCTCGAAATTGGTCGTTAGGTCTGTCTTCGGTTGGTAATGACTCGACCGGTTGATTTAACGACGTCGTTAGAACGCGTTTCGACGTGTTTAGGCCCGGTGCACGGTTCGCGGTAAAATCCCGTGTCCCGTTTCGATAGGTTTCGATACGTTTCGATACGTTTCACCGAAGTAACAGCGATCTCGTGAGGCGAAGAAAAATTTCGCCGCGTCGAACGTCTCGTGCGTGTTCGACTACCGGTGGCAACCACCTGTGAACACCGAAACCGAGTCGAATTCGTGGAAAGTAGAATCGATAGGATAGGCTCGCGTGTCGTCGGTCATCGCGCATCGATAAAGAACAGGGCCAACGCGTTATGCACGATATCGATTTCGGTTCGGTTCAGTTTTTCGTGGCCGTAACGCTACCGAAAGAAATCGATTTTCGCTAATCCGGAGAAAAGGGTAATACGAAGGGCAAGGGAGCGAAGGTCGCTCGCGTCTCTGGACGGGTCGATGCGTTCCCTTTTTTCTTCGACCCTTCGGTCGAACTTCGATCGTTCGAACGACGCCGGCGCTTATGAGAATCGCACGGCGCCGTTCGTCGACTGGATCGATCGATCGTATCGGTGAAACGAGCTTAGGCCGCGAGCTCGCACCGATTTTCGAACCCCTGCCCGATCGAGGTCGTGGCCGCGAGAAAAAAGCGGGAAACGCTTGGATTCGCAGCAGGAGCGGGCCACCGACTCCGCCAAATTGAACAGGGTCCTTTGATTTATGGCCGAATCGCCCCCTTCTCTCTCGTTCGACGTTCGAATTTCGCTCACCCTCCGCAATTATCGCTTCTCTCTTTCGATCGTATTCCACCCTCGTAACTGCACCGTCCATTTTTTTCCTCTTCCTGTTTTTTCGATCTCGATCCGCTCGATTCTCCGCGCGAATAGCGCAACACTGTTTCTTCTGTTCCTACTCGCCATCGCAGCAGCGAATCGCGCGATCTTACCGGGCAAAATAATTACCGCGTTCTCTGTCTCGTTACAGGTGCCTACAAATTTTCCTTGCGCCATCGTTAGACGAGCCACGTATCAGGCTTTCGCTTGATCGGTTTCGATAACGGGGCATGGATCGTTCTGGGTGTATAGCGAAAGTGCGACGACGCGACGGAAAGCGTGGAAAAGCAACGTTCTCGTTTAAGTAGACTTTCGTGAAAACGTCGACGGCCGAACGAGAGGAATTATCTTGGCAGAGTATTCGAGAAATCGATCGAAAAGTTTGTTCCGCGATCGTGCGCGCGAATCGCGTCGAGGGTTGGCCCTTGGCGAACGTTGCACGAAACGAATTACGGTTACCAGAAGTCCCGTTTCGTTCGCAAATGCGGGATAATTAGTCCTCGACGATGAATCAAACCGAGCTGACTAGCATATTTGCCTGGCGGTACAGTTAGTTTCCTGATTAATGGAGATACCCCTTGCGGCAACCGTTCCCATAAAGTCTCGAACTGGAAACCCTCTTTTCGCGGAACCGTAGAAACACGGTCTCTCTCTCTCTCTGGGCGCTGCGAATAATCGTGCCTCTTTCCGTACTCGTTCGCGTCTCCGTGAGCGTCGGAGCGTATACGTATATTGGGGAGGAGACGGTAATTACTTTCGCGAGCGCGCCAGATAGCGCGAGTTCTTTCGATCGGCGGTCGAGTAAGTTTTCGAGGTGAATTTTCGAGTTTCGTCGCGCGTTTCTTCGGCTCGCACCGATTTTCGAACCCCTGCCCGATCGAGGTCGTGGCCGCGAGAAAAAAGCGGGAAACGCTTGGATTCGCAGCAGGAGCGGGCCACCGACTCCGCCAAATTGAACAGGGTCCTTTGATTTATGGCCGAATCGCCCCCTTCTCTCTCGTTCGACGTTCGAATTTCGCTCACCCTCCGCAATTATCGCTTCTCTCTTTCGATCGTATTCCACCCTCGTAACTGCACCGTCCATTTTTTTCCTCTTCCTGTTTTTTCGATCTCGATCCGCTCGATTCTCCGCGCGAATAGCGCAACACTGTTTCTTCTGTTCCTACTCGCCATCGCAGCAGCGAATCGCGCGATCTTACCGGGCAAAATAATTACCGCGTTCTCTGTCTCGTTACAGGTGCCTACAAATTTTCCTTGCGCCATCGTTAGACGAGCCACGTATCAGGCTTTCGCTTGATCGGTTTCGATAACGGGGCATGGATCGTTCTGGGTGTATAGCGAAAGTGCGACGACGCGACGGAAAGCGTGGAAAAGCAACGTTCTCGTTTAAGTAGACTTTCGTGAAAACGTCGACGGCCGAACGAGAGGAATTATCTTGGCAGAGTATTCGAGAAATCGATCGAAAAGTTTGTTCCGCGATCGTGCGCGCGAATCGCGTCGAGGGTTGGCCCTTGGCGAACGTTGCACGAAACGAATTACGGTTACCAGAAGTCCCGTTTCGTTCGCAAATGCGGGATAATTAGTCCTCGACGATGAATCAAACCGAGCTGACTAGCATATTTGCCTGGCGGTACAGTTAGTTTCCTGATTAATGGAGATACCCCTTGCGGCAACCGTTCCCATAAAGTCTCGAACTGGAAACCCTCTTTTCGCGGAACCGTAGAAACACGGTCTCTCTCTCTCTCTGGGCGCTGCGAATAATCGTGCCTCTTTCCGTACTCGTTCGCGTCTCCGTGAGCGTCGGAGCGTATACGTATATTGGGGAGGAGACGGTAATTACTTTCGCGAGCGCGCCAGATAGCGCGAGTTCTTTCGATCGGCGGTCGAGTAAGTTTTCGAGGTGAATTTTCGAGTTTCGTCGCGCGTTTCTTCGACGATCACCGCGATCCGTAATCGTACGAGGGTAACACTTTTTTAAAGTCGGACCGCGCGATGTCTATGGTTTTTCAGAAATATCGGCGCCATATTTAACGAAGAAAAGAAAACGTTGTTCGCCGTGAACGAACGCGTGCACGCTATTTCGGCCAATGAATATTCGTGTATGTAGGTGGACTATCGACGGAGACGCGTAGACGCGCGACGCTCCGATGCAGATTGAATAATAGCCGAGGGTGTAAATGCGCGTTGCGCGTAACTGCGGAGTTAACCAAAGTGCCCTTCTTCCTGCTAGTTTTCCTTTCCAATCCGTCGCGCTACGTCGCACGCGCGTACGCCTTCTCGTCAACGATAAACCCGATAAACCGGCGTCGATGAAGGCGAGGAGACCGACCAACGTGTGTCAAAGGCATAACCGTTCACGAATTCGAAGACACGAACGACGAGGATAGAAAGCATCGCCATTTCCAGGAGTGGTCAACCCATGCCCGCGTTCGTGACGAGGATACGCGATACGATTCCCCAACGCCGAACGCTCGAGCTGAGAGAATTTCGAGTGGCACGGCCGTAAACGAGACATCCTCGTCGACGAACCACCCGATTTCTTCGTTGTAACAGCTTACATAAATAAAGCAAATAAATAAAGGAATTATCAGGTTTCTCGTGTTCGTGATTCGAGCGACGAGGTTAACTCGTTGACGTCAACCTTGCCAAATACAATGCCGATAATTTTACGCAACGAACGTAAAACTTTGCCGACGATTTACGATCGTCGAACAAAGCGTCGCGATAAATTACTCTTGCGCGAATCGTTCGCGTTCATTTCGTAAGCGCTTTACCGCGAACAAGTTTCGAGATAATTTCCGCAAGCGATTTCCCGGGGTTAAAGGTAACGTCGCTCGATTCGATTACCTGGCGTGGGACGACGATTCGCGAGTACGAACGAAAGAGAAATGTCCGTTCGAACCTTCGAAACATTCGTTAAAGAGACGGATATTTCGAGTTCTCGTGAAAACGTCGGCCAAACACGGAACGCGATGAGCACGAAGTAGAATGGTGTTTCCGAAATGCCTTTTACCGGCCGATGCTCGAAGGGGAAGAAAAGGAGCTTTTAGTAGCCAAGAAAGTCGCAAAAAATAATCGATGCAATATCGTAGACTACGATAAAACGCCGGTAGCGAGGGTACGTGGGATGAAAGGGTAAATCTCGGTGGATAGGCGGTCGTGGGTCGAGTAAGCGTACACTTTTCTATGTATGTAGTTTGCAACCAACTTTATTACACGGTTTAGTCTATCGTATAAAAAGCGATACACGTTCGATTGTTAGTAGATGGGCTGTTAGGGGGGTAATATGTTCGTGCATCTCGATCGAGTCCGGACGGCTCTCCTTTTGGAGCCGTTGCGCGGAGATCGGGACGCAGTCGTCGCGTGGTCCTGTGCCGAAAGCGTACTGTCCCGACGACGGTCGCGTCTAAATGACGTAGTAGGGCGCGGTGTAAGCGGCAGCGTAGTAGGGGTAAGCGGAGTAGGCCGCGTAAGGGTAGCTGTAGGCGTTCGTGTAGGCAACCGGAGCGGTGTACGCGCTGTAGGCCACGGGAGCGGTGTAAGCCGCACCCACCAGCAATCCTCTCTTGTCCCTTGCCGCGTTTTCGGTTTCGGCCACGGGTGATTCGGCTATCGCCGAAGTCGGTTCCAGCGATTCCGTTTCCAGAGGTTTCGCCAGAGCAACGCCGAACAGGGCGAGCAGAGCGACGGCCTGAAATCACCGAGAAAGCGTCGTTAGCGAGTTGCACGGATTCGAGAGCAAAGCAGCCTCGTCGATCCATGCTCGAACACGATCGATGTTTCGGCCGGGCAAAATTTCCCGAACGACGAAACGCCCCGTATCGCGTCGAGTGTACACGGTAAACGAGTTTCAACGGGGTTTACTCACCGCGATGCACTTCATGTTGTAGTTTGTCGAGGAGATGCGAGAAGCTTGGAAGACCGTTGACGATCGATTGATGCTCGAAACAGCGGTGTAGCCCTCTTTTATACCGGTTCGATCGCGACGATACGCGTCGACGGTACGTGCACCGATTCTGAATATTCGCCTCTCGCGTAATCGCGCATAATTGTTAACCTCTGGGCGTTGCTTCGCGTCGGGTTGCCTCG